ATTCGAACTAGTAAGTTCAAACTAGGCTTAGTCCTTGTAGAACGAGGTTTACCTAGTTCGAACTAAGCGCTCCGCTCTGCTGCAGGCTCCCTGCAGTTTTAATTCTGTTGCAGGCAGACTGAACTGGTTCGGCTGCACATGGGGCCTTCATTTCAGCTGAGAAAGGATGAGACTTTTTCCTTTAATGAAATAATAATTTATAATGAAAATAACAGCAAAGCTTGCTGTTCATAGAACAGTTCCTTTCTTTGTCAATGGATGTACCATGAAGAGAAACTTTCAGCCTGTTATTTTACAATCAACAGACAAAGTAGACAACTCTGCCCCTGCTGGGCAAATTAATGGTAAGAGTGTTCATTTTGACAAGTACTTTTGACAGTATACTTTATTTTTTTAAAAAAAACTTTCAGTTACATCAATATATTCAATTGCTTTATGTGAGGATGGATTTTATTGTAGCTTGTGAAGTGTCAAACTATTCTACATGCTGGGATTGTTTGCTTGCATGCTCCTTGTGTACTCTGACAAGGTTTAGGGCAAGAGTTTGCATGGTTTCTAGCAGTTTTGAGAGGGAGATTATGCTCTTGTGATAGCTCTGTTAGCAATAAACAGTTTAGGTTTGCTCTACATACGTGATGTTACTGTATCCAATGTCAAAAGTAATCTCTAACACCACGGCTGTGTCTACACTGGCATCCCTTTCCGGAAAAGGGATGCTAATGAGACACATCGCAATTGCAAATCCACGGGGGATTTAAATATCCCCCGTGGCATTTTCATTTACATGGCTGCCGCTTTTTTCCGGCTTGGGGATAAGCCGGAGAAAAGCGCCAGTCTAGACGTGATTCTCCGGAAAATAAGCCCTTTTCCGCAGGATCTCTTATTCCTACTTGAATTTTCATTTCATTTCCTTGAAAGTAGGAATAAGAGATCCTCTGAAAAAGGGCTTATTTTCCGGAGAATCACGTCTAGACTGGCGCTTTTCTCCGGCTTATCCCCAAGCCGGAAAAAAGCGGCAGCCATGTAAATGCAAATGCCACGGGGGATATTTAAATCCCCCATGGATTTGCAATTGCGATGTGTCTCATTAGCATCCCTTTTCTGGAAAGGGATGCCAATGTAGACACAGCCCACAAGTATAATAGGTGGCTGTAGATGAAGGTTTACACCTAGGGTCACAACACAGTGAATAGTATCCATTTTCGTTTTGGCTAAATGGGAACTGAAGCATTTAGACATATTTCTTTCTTTCTACACTCTGCTGATTTTCTGTAACTAAATACAATCTTCATATTGCATCTGGGTACAATGCACGGTTTTCTGGAGATGGAATAATCATGCATTTATGTTTGATTAGTTAAAGCAAGAGGCATAAGACACTGACATAGTTGGCCAGTTCTTACAGCATGTCCTGTGGTCTCAGGTCTACAAGAGAAATTTTCCTGGGAGTTAAGAATTTTAATATGGCGGATTAGAGTAACACTTGGTAGTGCATAAGCATGGAATACTGTATATTGAATACTTTGCTTGTTTGTAATACTCATTCTCCAGGCAATAAAGTAGGTAAATATTAAGCTGCAATATTTGTTTTAGTAAATAATGTATAGTGAAAGCCTGTGGTATGTGTGTGAGTGAAATTAGGAGCTTTCGAAGTATGTCTGTTTAAAGCTTACTTTCCGGCAGAAAAGAACTGAAAAGAAGCAGCTAAATCTACATGTTACAGTGTATTTCCTTTTATTTCTTACAGTTCTATCAATCACAGAGCTTTACCATATTTCTGATGTTTCCAACACTGCTATGCATGTCTGAGCATTGCCAAGAGTAGGATTTGCATGATTTAAAATGTTAGTCTTCTCATAGCCAAAGAAGCAGCATAAGAATTATTTTACAGGGCAATGCTATTTTCATTTCAGTTTGAATCTGTCAAAAGAGAGCAGGGGATGTTTGGAAAGTGGAAGATGGTAGTACCAAAACTGGATGTTTAAGTTTTGCTGAAATCTAGTCATCCCAAGCCATTTATAGCTCAAACTATGCTGAGGATAATTCCCTGCTATCTTAACACTGTAAACAAATGAAGTTATTGACCCAATTCATAAGAATGCATGCACACACAGACACACACACACATATATACATAACATTTCAAACATATATAATACACTTGGGGGAAATTATGTTGCTTTACAGAAGTATATTTGGGAGAGGAATTTGAAGAGAAAGTTGTTTGGAATACCAGAGGAAAGGAATTTGAGAATAAAGAATAGTATGGAATAGACCATGATGATGATGATGATGAAGGTGAGATGACTATAAATGAGCAGAAAAACTTGTGAAGAGCATAAACAGCTGGTTGGGAGTGGGAGACTGATTAATTGGAGCAAAGTGGGTGCAGGGCCCTCAAGATACAGCTCAGAACTTAATGAGAAGCATGAATTTTATGTGGGGGAGAAAAGTGAGCCTGCTGGGGATTCAAACAGAGGAGTGATACAGTCAGAACATCAGAAGATTGTTTGAGCAGCAGCATTTTAAATATGTTGGAGAGCGTGGGGGTGTCACGAGGGGACGGCTGAAAGAAGGTTGCAATATTCAAGGCAAGGCACACTTTATTATTTTGTATGGTTTTTAGCTGCCAATCTCATCACAATGAATCATATAGTATCTGAAGGAAGATCATGATGGTTAACCTGAAATGCAAGACATGTCCTTTTACACGCACATCTCTGAATCACTGTATTAAAATATATCCCTGGATATTTTTTTTTAAGGCAAGGAATAGATCAGATTAATCCTTACAGTGTCATAGTTTAGACACAGATGAGAGGTGACCCTTTTTTGGCCACTGTATGGTATTTTACTAAACAAATTTATCCCAAATATTATAACCCATTTTACTATATCAGAATTATTACTCTTTCTATGCTGAAACCCTATGGTCCATAGAGTTTATTCTATGGGATTTTACTGCACAGGGAGTCCTTGCCAAGATTTTATGTGTTATTTGCCCTATTTTCCAAATTTAATTTTTTTTCTAACTATAGAGTTCAGGACTCTCTCGTGGGATACTGATCTTTTGAAGTAGCTGCTGGGATGCAGTCGAAAGAACATTTTTTCCAATGATCAATTTGTCAGAAGGTCAATATTATTTTAAGGAATGAAATGACAATGGAGCTCAGTCTAGAGGCCATGTTAGAACAAGGTATTTGCAAACTCAGATAGGATAAGCAAATATAAAGGAGGAAGTATAGGTTAAAATTAGGAGGTCAAATTCTGATCTCGGTGTCTTCAATGGAGTTACTCCAAATTTATGCCATTTTTATGAAACCAGATTATGAGCTGGAGAAGGGCCTAAACAAGATTCTTACGCACATCTGAAGTTTCTTTGTGCTGTCTCTCATCTGAACTTTTGTTGTGGTTTGGATAAAAAAGGTTCCTTATCTGAATGACCCTAGTTCACATTCATAGATAGAAAGAAACCAAACCTTTCTCCAAATCTCTCTCAAAACATTGTTTGGCTAAATTAAAGCCCTGATCTGAGCCACCAATGGTCTTGCTTTGCAAAACTAAAGTGCTGTAGCTGTGTAAAAGCAAAACCGCCTCCTTTCCCCATTTCTAGTTAAATCAGTGAATGGCCAGGATGTTTGGAAGCTTGGCTTAGATAAGCAACCAAAAGTTTAGATTATGGGAGCCTTAGCCAGGCTTCCTTCCCACCGTGCTCCCATCGCCAAACAACTCTGATTGGTGACCTGTATTGAGTTCTGGGGGAGTGGTCTGAAACATGCCACAGTTCAGACTCTCTTCAGTCTGGCCCACTGATGGCCCTGCTGTGTTTTGAAGTTGTATGTTTGCAATAAAGAGGGCAGGATTTACACCAGCTGTCAAGGCTGGTTTATCCTACTATAAACCTTTGAAGGAAGACCCCTGATAGGGGGGAAAGCCCATCAAGGAGATGTGAACTCCACCTTTATATCAGATTGGGAGATTCATAGAGGCTTCTGAGAGACCTTAAGGAAGAGGGTACTTGTTGGAACAGGGGCATGTATTAGAGAAGCTGGGAATATGGTGAATCTGCACATTATTCTAGTAGCCTCCGGTGCAGTCTATAGTCTGAATCTAGTCATGGGAACCAAGAGGAAATGGTAGTGACAGAATCTCCACCAGTCTGTGAGGTGAATGATCACTGTTAGCACAAAATGCCTCACTGATGCCAGGAGAGACCTAATAAAATGATAGTCTTTAACATGTAATCAGGCTTGTACTTATTACTCTGTTTACCATTCATGGCCACTCTAGCCAGTTTTTCAAGTATATTTTGAGGCTGTAAATTAAAATACATACATCACAATCCCTCTGAAAAATAAATCCAAGCTAAAGCTTTTATACTCCTATAACAATCCTTTAGACAGCTTAAAGAACACTTAATATCTTTAATGTTAATATCTTGTGTGCTAAAGATCCACCAAAGTATTTTATTTTAACCCTCAAAATGAGCAATAGCAGTCAGGAAATGCTGACACAAGCTTAACCAAGTGACACCAATCTTATTGAAGCTCCTTCATTTATGGGTTATTACAAAATTTCTGAGGCATTATTTTCTTATGGAGACTAGGTTACTACTTCCTACATTTACTTTTCTCACTTAGGTCCAGTGCACTTTCTGCCTCCCCTCTTAGAGTTCCTGCCACAAATGCTTGAGAAACATAATATATTATCTCTAAAAGATAATATTTCTAAGTGCCTTAGCAACTGAAAGTTCTTTCTGGATATAGTGTCTAAAAGGAGAGAAAACCAGGATGTACACCAAATAAATACATTTCACATATATAAAAATCACTGTAAAGACTTGGGCATAGTGAAAGCCCAGAAAAGACTGTCCCGGTGCATATGTGCAGAATGTTCTATCATATTATATGGCTTTCATTAGAGACTCACATTTCCTACCTATCACCACAAGGGGTGTCCAGGACACATGTGAACGTGTAGCTTCTGTAAGCAAGCTGTCAGGGTAGTCTTGCAGTTTAGCCCTGAGTGATTCTGTGAAATTGGAGGAGTGATTCTTGCTGCTGTTCTTAAGGGATTGCTGTTGTTAGGGAAGGGGGAAAAAAAAAGCAGATTTGGCCGTGTGTGTGCATGTGTGAGCAGATGCAGAGTGCGTTTGACTGAGGAATCTGACTACTGGGATGCACTGAAAGAAGAGAGACGCACACAGACAGAAAGAGAGACAGAGAGAAGAGGAAGCAAGAATAGGATTGAAGTGCAGAACAGCTGTTCCCTAATACTCAGTTCTTTTGGGTGCCTCAATACATGTGAACATGGATTCTGTCACTGAAATCATCTTCAAACTGCTGTTTCTGTTATTGGTTCAGAACTGGAACACAATAGTGTCAGGAAATAAATGTAAGTATTGCAAATTATTTAAAACTCAGAGCACACTGCTTTGAAAACTTCTGGGCTATTTCATTTAGCTTTGAAATAAATCTTGCTCTTGAACTAAATGCTTAATATATCTGTAAACATGACAGCAAATAGCTAGGCTGACAATGTTTCTTTGGCTGAGAAATATCATTGTCTAACTTCTAAAATTCTAAAATTTTTATACAAATCTATATACAGAATTCTATTGAGAAGTTCAAGTTCCAGTATAATCTGAAATTAACCAAGGAAGTGCATGTTCCATTCCCATTTTAATTTTTGTTTCCTGTTTTACAAGGCATTTTGTCTTACATTGAAATTACTGGAAGACTTCTACTGTATGCTGCATCAGCTTAGATTTTAGCACCGGGTAATTCAGAAAGCTGGTAGCTGAATATCATGGAATAAGCAGGCACTCAAATAAGACTTATGTATAGTAAGATGCAGTTTATGAGCAAAGAAAATGTAACAAAGAAAAAATCTTGAGGACAAGATTTCCTGGAATGTGCACTGATTTCTTAGAGAATAGTGCTCATGTACAACTAAGGAAGAAGGCACTATCAGTAGCAGCAGAAAGTTTTTTTTTAAATGAGTAAACCATAGGTAGCCAGTAGGGTAGTATTACAAAACAGAGACAGGTGATTACACTGTGTAAGGGAATCTGTCCTTTAGAAGGCAGATCTGATGTATATGTGACTTTGAACTGGGATCTTTGATTTCAATGTTGAATCGAGTCTGAGCATTTTGACCTTTGACTAATTTATCAGAAACTAACTTCCAAGCAATTTACCAACTCCGTAATTGTTCTGAGTTCCTTTGGCTTCAGGGAATCATAAAGCTTTTTATTTTTGATACATCTATCAGAATAGTAGCCTAAATGGCCAATGTTTAAAATGAGCACCCTGTTTTGTTTTGACTTTTAATCCAGTTGAAGGGCTGGCTGTGCATCATGTGAATGGGAAAGGCTGAGATAGTGACTGCATTTTAAGAATGTGGGTGTTAGTGCTACTGGGAATGTTCAGGAACAACTTTACAGCACTGTAGCAGGGGACAGCTCTCTGCAAACATCTGAGCCATGACAAAGTTAGAAGCGCTGTGTGCATTGAAGAGTTTTCCTGTGGACATCTTGCAAACTAAACATGCTACAATGAGCCTGATGATCACACTGCAGCGCCAAAATGATCTTGTGCTGTCATTCGGTAATCATATCTCATTTGATACTCCAGTGCATAGAGGAGCTCTAAACATAAATACTAAGCTTCTTTGGAAAAAAACCCTGCTGCAGTCCAGGCTCAGCTTTAATTTTCTTAATCATTCTGTATTGTTAATCTGAAATTAACAATTAATTCTCTTAATCATTCTGTATTATTAATACATCCATTTTCACAAGATCATGATAATTGAATCACTTTAATAGCATTTGGCATTATTCACAAGACTAAATCAGATGTTTACAGAAAGGCACATTAAAACTATTGCAAAATAGGACTTGCAGAATACAACAAAACAGTAAAGCACTAGAGGTCACTCTTACAATTTAAGAAATAAGGCTTAGGAAAAATCAAGCTTTTTCTAGTACAGAATTATGAAGGGTAAAATATATCAGGTATGAACCACATCTATCCTTTTTGTTTCTCTAGTACTTCTCAGCGAAAAGGCAAGCAAAGCTTAAATGAATGTCTATATTAATACACTTTTATTTGTTTCTTACACAAAGAGATTTGCCTATAATTATCTCATAATCAAAACACCCCTGTGAAGTAAGGAAATAAGGATACTTCTCCATGTAGAGATAGTGAAAATGATGCTTGGAGAATATAAACTAGCTTAAAACCATTAAACATATGTCAGAGCTAGGAATACTATTTGGGAGATTTTGACTCTACAAGGTTGTACCTCTCCTTATTTCACACAAGAACACAAAAGAGAATCCTAAAAATGCACTTATTTCACATGATAATAATTTTAAAGGGGTGGTGTACATCGGAAGTGGCAGGCTATCTTCAACAAAAAATGAAATTGCACATTTAGTTTTCAAATGTCCTAGCAGTGTTGTGTCCTGTACCCCAATTACTGCAAAACTATGCAGCAGTAATTCTACTCTTCCTTTCACATACTTCACTTTCTTCATTAGAAGTTAACCACATACTGAAATCCCTTTTAGAACATGATCTGAATTAATGAATTCAAATAAATCAGACTAAACAGCTATTACAAAATCAGATTCTTAGTCTGGATTTCTTTTATCCATATTGTTCTCAGATATTCTTTCACTGAATAAGAGCATTTTAAACTACACCCTATTTAAAATGGAAAAACCATATCATTTTGAAATTGAAACATGGTATTTCTCTGGGTATATGACCTTTCTTGAAGGATGACATGCTCTCCAGTTTAGCACAGTAAGATAATGGCTGGTTTTGGGAATTCATACAGTTGAAAAGTTCTGTACTAATGTTGCTTCACTTAGAGTGTTAAAATTCCAAAACCAAAGAGTTAAAACTCCAAAAGCATTTGAAAAGGAACTGACCTACCCAGCCATAAATGAGAAACTATGAAACTCCATATAGAAATTTTCAAGTAAGAATCAAGACAAGTACTCCTGTAAAATTTTGTGTGTGGGACAGCAAACATTTTTATTTTATTTTGAAGCTGGTTCTACAGCTATAAATCAGTCACTTGGTAAATTAGCTCCTGGGTGCTTGCCTGAAACTTGGTCATGAAACTGAGATAGGTGCAGTTCTTCCTTTGAAACTCTCTGAAAATGAAGTGTTTCTGAAACATAATTAAATCTCTCACACATTCCAGCTCAACTGTGACCAAAACTATTAAGGATGATTTGGGAAATGAATGGTAATACTGCCAACAAATTTAAAAATTCTCACATAAAATCATTTCTCGGTATATAGGTGAAGGCAGAAAGCATGTACTTCTGCTTCTAAAGTCTTTCATATTTACAGAAATGTTTACTTTTCATACTCTCAGCACAAACATTCACAGTTACATGATTATACTTTTCTGTAAGTCAACTGGTCTTTGCTTTAGAACTTCTTGTTAACATAACTTTTCTTTTACTATTAGAGAGTAGTACCTTAGTGGCATTGAGTCTTTCCAAGATGAGGATTCAATGAATTGGTATCTTCCTTTACCTCATGATTATATTATCCTAGGTTAAGTCATTATACTGGAAGCATCTTCAGAGAAGTGGTTTCTCAATAGAAGGAAACAAGTTAATTTGATTAGAAATAATATTTTAGAATTTGGTCCTGATTTATCATTGTGTTAAAATTGTTTCACAGTATTTACTTATTGAAGAAGGTTGAACTAAGTGCAGAATTAAAATGTGGAACTTCTAACCAACAGTAAGAGGGTTTAGAGGCTATAGGTAGAAAGAAACATAGAATATCATCCTGAAGTAATGTTTATCACTAGACTAATTTCATTTTAATTTCATTATTATATGTTACTATTTTTTTTTATTGAGCTAGCACTCGGAGACCTCAGTCATGGATAGGGTCACTATTATGGATCCTATTTACATTACTATGGTATCTGGAGTGTATTTTGCATGGATGATTGTACTGTAAGGTTAAAAGCATGTATTAAAAATAAATTTAAACCAAGACCAAAAGAAGCATTGGCAAGAACATATTTTTTTCAATGTACAGAATTCACTTGAAGATCTTTGGTCTATTGTGCTGAGCATAGTCAATAGTTTGAATCCTATCTCTATGGTTTATAAAATGGCAGCTTCTAAACTCCCTTATAGATGAATATCCATTTATGAATCTTTCTCTCCCATCCAAATGGATGGATGGGGAGATAGAGATTCATAAATTAACTGCAAATCTTGAAGTAATCATATCTTTGGGTCCAGTAAGAGTTGTTTCATAGATGTGTGTTTATATATGCTTATGAGTAGCATAACGACAGAATTTAAAGAGTGGTTATATTCATGTGAGAAGATATATGTGTGAAATTTGATAAACTCACCTGTAGTATGCCTAATAATCTATCAACAATGGAACTATTTCTAACATTCAGAACCTAAGAGCAGCTTCTTATAGAACCAATGGGGGGAAAACAACGCCACCCCCCCCATTCAGAACCTAAGAGCAGCTTCTTATAGAATCAACGGGGGGAAAACAACGCCTCCCCCCAAAAAAAGTATATTTTCTCCAAAACTATTACTGCTCTTAACCTGCTGATGCCACTAACTCAAAAACATAGGAGCTTCAATCTAGATGGAAGTTAGGAATTCTCTCCTTCCCCCAATGTTAATCAACACACTTTTCTATTAATACTGTATTAATATTTAGTTGTTTTTGTATAGTAGCACTCTATGTGCTAGGTATGTGCTTTCCAAACACTATAAAAGATATCTAAATGTATCTTATTAATCTTTCCAATAGTGTAATACTATAATTCAGATGCTAAAATCAGATAATTTTTCTGTATGAAACACCTATTTTTGAGTTTTTTAAAGTTTCATAAATTATAATTTTCCTCTCTGTAACAATCCTTCACTTTTAATTCATGTTATTAAGGGAACCTGGTTTTATAGGTGGAAGGGTACAACAAATAGTGCTGCTAACATTGGTAAAAACATGCATAAAATATTTATTTAGTTAAAACATGCTTTATGTTGTATGCACATGATGTGGTATAAAACATGTATTTGCCCTTATTTGGCATGGTTTGCATAACTCATTTGTAATTTTGACATTGAGTATGCCATCAATATCTTCATGCTTCAGGCTATGTCTACACTGCCATTTTTTTAGGAATAAGGGATCTTGCGCAAAAGGTTTTTTTTCCGACAAATGGCCCCTCCTACACAGGGCTTTTTAGTGGCAAAACCTCTTCCACAAAAGGATTGGCAGAAAATATGCAAATGAGAGCACAATTGGCATATCTTCTGCTGAAAAAAATGGCAGTGTAGACATAGCCTCAGTGTGTCATCATGTATTGTCACTCTTTACTTA